TGACCTGCAGAATAAACCCAACAAAAGCTCGTTTCCTCTCTTAGATAATTTGCCACAGTAGCCTTATTCCCTGGAAACAGTATTCTGACCAGTATTCTGATCACTTCCTGGGAGTGATCATAACATACCTTGTGCTTATAGAAAGGTGTGGGCCATATCACTAAATAATCAGGGTCAGTTTTCTCATCTTGTGGAAAGGGAGATAAAGTTATGATAGTTTATCTCCCTTTCCATAGGTTTCCTGCCGGTTTGTGTCTCTTGTGCAGCCACAGTGGCCCCAGCACCTCTGCGGCCTTGGGATTAGGGGCTGCTGGGTGCCGGCCCCCCCGCGGCCTGTGTCTCTGCTCCCCCAACCCCAGCGCTGAGGTGGGGCTTGGGGCGGCTATGTGCCGGCCTGTGTCTCTGCTCCCCCAACTCCCCCCTCCACCCCAGCGCTGACCAAGCAGGCCCAGAGGCCCTCCACCAGCAGATTGAGGCAGAACTCCTGCGTCATCACCAGGCTTCGCTCTACGTATGCAAATTAGCGCCCCCCCAACTCCCCCCCCCCCCCCCAGCGCTGACCAAGCAGGCCCAGAGGCCCTCCACCAGCAGATTGAGGCAGAACTCCTGTGTCATCACCAGGCTTCGCTCTGCCCTTTGGAGCCTATGTATGCAAATTAGCCGCCATCTTGGCTGGCTGTTAATTTGCATATCACGCTAATTAGCCAATGGAGAGGGTAGCGGTCATACGCCAATTACCATGCTTCTGTTTTATTAGATAGGATTGCTGTATGAAGTTGGAAGAAAGAGTGATTAATTTTCTAGAGGAAATGGCATTTGAGTTGAGTAAAAAAGGGTGATTTTTGTAGACACCAAAGCCATGCTCAAAGGCATGATGGTGATTTCATTCAAGGGGAAGTTATCTGGAATAGATGGAGGGTGCAGTAGATGGGGGCTAGATACATGGCTTTTACTGCCAGGCTAAATTCAATAGTTTGGTTTTCATTACTGTAGGTATGGAGAGCCATGATGGTTTGTGAGTGGTCTGATCAGGTGGTGATTCGGAAGGATAATTGGAGGTGGTGATAAGGTAGATGAGCAGGGCTTTTTCAGTGTGTAGGCAAGAGATGATGAAGCCCTAAGCCAGTGGTTCTCAACCTTCCTAACGCTGCGCCCCTTTAATACAGTTCCTCATGCTGTGGTGACCCCCAACCATAAAATTATTTTCGTTGCTACTTCATAACTGTAATGTTGCTACTGTTATGAATCGTAATGTAAATATCTGATATGCAGGATGTATTTAGGTGACCCGCAAAGGGGCTGCGACCCACAGGTTGAGAACCGCTGCCCTAAACTGTGACAACAGCAATGAGTACTGAAACAGGAGGCAGATTTGAGAAAATGTAGAAGTAGACTCATAAAACAGCAGCTAGAGAGCTGAGAAGGCATGAGATATATGCAATATAGTATTTTAGACCACAGAAAGACATGGGGTGTTTTTTGTTGTTATTTAGAATCAATGCAAAAACTATTGTTGAAATAACACAGAGCAGCCAAGTTGTAGCTATTTAATTACTTGTCAACAAAGGTTTGAGACTATTAACATTAACAAAGGAATGTATATTGTGCTAAAAGGATTGACTGAAGAGAAAAATACTATCTCACCATTTTGGGAGTTCTTTGGAATCAGACCTAACCTTATAGGAGATGAAACAGTCATTTAGGGCCTGTTTGAATGACTTAGTATTTACCTCTTGCTCAGACAGCTTCCCTAGAAACATTTCCTTTGGGGTGAACAACTTGATTTACTTCCAGGGTAATACCTCCCATCTCATACCCATGCTGCCTCTTGGCTCAGTCCTCACGGACAGGTGTGTTCATAAGCTTCTAATAAGAGCACCATGTCTGAAAAGCATAGGGTGAATGTATCACACATTATAACTTTCACTTATAAGCATTCTTGTGGGGAAGATCTGAAACCATGGAAGTCTTAAGGATCAGGAAGACCGAGATTGCCTTTTCTCTAAATCGTGCAAAGCCACACCTATGTTCTCCATAAGGAGGGTCAGCCAGATGCTGGGCAAAGTTAAAATTTAGAAACCGTTTCTCCCAGTGTATGACAATATGCTCGCTAGGGATCTGTTATGGCCTCCTTTGTGGGTTTTGGAAGGTGTTGCAATGACACTGCCTGCTGCTAGCAGTTTGGGAACAGCGTCCTTGACAAGTGACTGTCATGAGTTTAACCAAGCAGGGAACACCGTTTAGAACACCACTTGCTGAGATGTGGCTCTTATCTGTGCCTGTCAGTGAACAATGACTACAACGAACTGTATTCAATCACAGTTGTTAGCAGAGTTGATTACAGCAGTCTGGGGTGGGAGGAATCCCAGTACATGCCTCCAAGGGGTTTCTATCACAGGTTGAAACATTGGCTGTGCAGGTGAGCAATGGAAACAGGCCCTTTGGGGGAGCTTTAAACAACTCTGAACATGGATCCATCTTAACTCCACAGTTGGTGAGGGATCAAGTTCAAAAGAGAACCACCAAAGGGAGGAGGAAAGGGATGCTTAAAGCCAGTAGGATAAATATTTTGGGTCAAAGAGAGAAAAACTGGGTATTATTCCCTGGGCTGTTTTGACTCACTGCATGACTTCACGGGGGTCATTTCCCCTTTCTGAGACTCACTGTTCTGGTCTCAAAAATAAGGATAATACAGGGGTTGGCAAAAGTAGGTTTACAGTTGTGAGTACACAAAACAAGTTTATTCTTGTATATTTGTATAATTAGTAATTATTATATTATTTATTTGCATTACAACTGTAAACCTACTTCTGCCCACTCCTGTAATACTGAAAAAATTACAGTATTTATATCATGGGATTTATATCTTGGGATTACTGAAAGAAGAAAATTTTTTTGGGGGGGGGTGAGGAATAGAAAATCCTATATAATTCTATGTAGTTTAACTGTTATTCCCCTTCTCTTGTTCTACATTTAACTTATAAATGATGAGAGGGAACAAAGAAAGAAATCAGAGCTGTTGTAGAATCTCAAACTTCATTTTCCGATGCCTCTGAGTGATTCTATGGTTTGCTTATCTTCAGATTTGCCTCTCCTCCCCAGAGCACCAATTCTGGTATAAACTCATCTCCAGTGTGGGGTGGAGAAGACCCTAGGAATCTGAAGAGGCAGGCCCTGTACCCATCTAGTCTCGTATCTTCAGATTACCTGCTACATGCCAGGTCCTGAAGGCCTCCTCTCTCCCCTCCCTGGAACACCTGATATGAGAGAATATCAGCCTTGAATGAGTCCCAGAGTCAAACTGGACTTTATGGGATGCCTCTAGGACAGAACCAAACAGAATTTGCAACGTGTGCGGAACATGTCTTAGTGTGGGTCCCTAACCACATTCTTGTTCATGCTAAAAATCACAACATACTTCTAACCAAGCAAGGCACGTCTATGTATCTGATGGTGCTGTCAGTGATAGAAAATGATCATGTTATGGATCTGACAGGGAGGAAAAAGAAGATTTATTTCCAAGGTTGAAGATTTATCTTTTCCAGATATGCAAAACCAGTCAGAGCATTAAGAAATATCAGCAAAAAGTGATCATGTTTTGTGGGCAGGAGGAACCATTCTTGACTTCAAAATAATAAGGAAGATTTATAAGGATCCCAAATCCATGGTTAAAAAAAAATTATTTGACAATAGGATTTCAGTGGGACTATCAAACTTTTAACTGTCCCGTATGGTGAGGTGACAGCTTCAGTTTTAAATGAATGCCTTACATTGAATGCTTAAATCTCTCCCTTTTTCTTTTCTCCCCATCGTTTAGATTTTTTTTTCAATGTTCAGCATAACTAAAACGTCTAAGTAGGGAATTACACATAATTATAGGCTCTGCACCATTGGCAAATGATGCTTCTTCCTAATCATTTATAATCATTTGTTCCACTCTTCCTTCTCCTGGAAAATTTACTTAGAATGACAGCAGTGTCCTTTATTTCTTTTGAAGGCATCCTTTGGTTCCACTTTGTGTAGAGGTTATACAACATGTCAAGAAATGCAACATTGTATTCTCCCCATAGTCACACATATACCAATAAAAAACATGACTTTAAATGAATACAGCAAAATTGAAATAACTAAATTACGTTTTATCTACTAAAGCTATTTGGTAAGGTAAATAAAATTTTGAAAAATATTTCTATAACTCAAAGGCCATGATCACTCTGAATGTGTAGCCTGCACCTGCTGGCTGGGAGGTTGTTTTGTGCTGTTAGGTCAGAACTCAGTGCCATCCTTGTTTGCTTCATCAACCTTTTCTTATTGCTGGCTTAGAGAAATGTGACATTGCTAAAAACTCTAACTTGAAAATGCTTCACAGAGCAGGATCCCTGCCAAATTCAGGAATTTTGCTGGTTTGGAAGACAAGTGCTGTCATGCAGAACCAAAGGCTGATACTAGAAGTCAGCAATCACAATGGGAATAAATCCCACAATCAGAATGTGGTTTCTGGATGTCTTAATCTCCTCCAACTTTAAAGGAGTGATGCTGGCCTTACTTTCAGGATAACTTTACAAAGAAAATTTAGGGGCAGGTGGAGTTCAATCCTAAAACTTCGTTCTTTCCCAAGTTCTAATGCTTCCATTATTACTGGCAGTTCTTCCCTAACTTCTAATGCTTCCTTTATTATCCAGATTATTAAGAGATGCCCATTTTCTCCTCTTAGCATTAAATTCCTGAGAAAGAACATACAACATCTTCCTTACCTGGTCAAGGAATAAGTTGTCCTGAATAAAGGAGCTTCCCAGCTGATAGTGAAACTAGTCCCCTGATGCAATTTGTGTTTTAACCCAGTTTTGAGGGAAGTGGTTTCTACTGTTTGTTTCCCTTTCTATTGCCTTAGTGGGCAGGGCATGGGCTGGCTGTACTGGGAGGACTCAGGGTCATTGCTGGGGTCTTTTGTACAGTGCTACAGTAAGGCCATCAGGATTTCTAAAGGGAGTTGGGTCATATCGGTGCATTGTGAGTAGCACAATGAGGCCATAGGTTGAACTTGTCTTTAACTTGCATCCTTTCTATTTCTTGGTGCTTCTGATTCATTAAGTTCCAATTAATATTAGGCCTACCCTCTTTCTGAGAGTAGAAAGCTTTCCAATGTTAGTTTAAATCTAATATTTGGCATGAGGAAGGGACATCTTTGACATGGTGGGCTTATGACTGAGTTCTTCTTAATTTTGTCTAATTTATTGGCTAGCACTGTGCCTATGAAATGTTCTTCTCCATCTTTTGTATTTTAATCCATTATTTTAATACTTGCCCTTTCCCAAAGGTTTATGCCCTTCTAGACTTTAGAATTCAGAAGTAGATTGACATTGGTAGTCACCCCCCCCTTTTTTTTTGCTTTTTAAAATTTTTATTTATTGATTTGAGAGAGAGAGAAAGAGAGAAATATTGATCAATTGTTCTACCCATTTATGCATTCACTGTGTGCTTCTTGTATGTGCCCCCTGCCCCGTCTCAACTAACTGAGCCACTCTGTCTGAGCTATTCAAATTCTCTCTTTCTCTTTCTTTCTTTCTTTCTTTCTTTCTCTCTCTCTCTCTCTCTCTCTCTCTCTCTCTCTCTCTCTCTCTCTCTTCTTTCTTTCATCTTCTTCCCTCCCCCCTGCCAAAATTGTTCTCAATAAGGTCAAGTCACCATTTATATTAGTTCCCTATTGCTGCTGTAACAAATTACCAAAACTTTGTGGCTTAAAAACAACACAAGATTAATTTCTTACTATTCTGTAGGCCAAAAATCTAAAGTCAAAATGTTGGAAGGGCTTATTCCTTCTGAAGGCTCTAAGGAACATTGTTGTTTTTTGGTTTTTCTTTTCTAGTTTCTGGAGGCCACTTGCATTTCTTGGCTCATGACCCCTTTCATAAATTACTCCAACCTCTTGCTTCCATTGTCATATCTCCTGCTCTCTCTCTCTCTCTTAAATATGTTTTTATTGATTTCAGAGAGGAAAGGAGAGGGAGAGAAGGATAGAAACATCAATAATGAGAATCATTGATCGGCTGCCTCCTGTATGCCCCCTACTGGGCATCAAGCCCACAACCTGGGCATGAGCTCTGACCAAGAATCAAATCCT